CATTGCAAACGAGCATACCGAATGAAATTAGTTCTGAGTTCACTCCGCTAAGAGACCAGAGTGTATTATTTATTGGAGAGAGTTTTTGTATTCAATCGTCTCAATATTTGATGGCATTTATGTGCATTAGCGAATGTTCTTAATTCGATACACATGCACGGCAACCTGACAAAGAAACACAACCATTTTGCTTACCTTTTGGCCGCCTTAACATCAGGTTTAAAAGTAGAACGTAGGAAAGTAGCTGATATGTAGACAGGCATATTAAAACACGAACACACAAAAGTGTTTTCTATAAAGGATCGACAGCGAAACGACTAAAAACAAAGCGGTGAGCGGTGCTTGACTCAACTGTGTCATTTTCTCACTACGTGTATCTTTTACAAGGTATTCAGAGCAGGACGTTTTGCTTACACACCCAAACAAATTTCCGTTTCCACAGGCAAAAGGTGTCATTTCCACAGCTCGCGTGGGGTGATTTTCACGCGCAGTTACTTGCTTCTCTGTTGCTTCGCTCGCGCTAATATCCATGTAAAAAATTACATGCGATTGCCAGGAGAAAAAATATAAAAATATACCTTTTTATCCAGCCAGAACCGGCATAAATTTTTCATATTTTCAGCTAGCGAGGCGCTAATTCAGATTTCCCAGCCAGCTAATTAGCCAATGTTTTTTTTCCAGCTAGCTCAAATTCTGCCTGTCGAGCGGGTATTTTGTCGAGCGGCTTCGTCGGGTACTCCTGTCTTAAACTCCCTATTATCTGTACCTTCCGCATTCCAAGTTCGCTCATTGCAGCGGCTTGTTAAATTACAAACCGAACGAGCAAGACGAACGGGCTTATTAATTCTCTTACCGGAGATCAACTACTTTTTGCAAAATCGACAATGAGGCTCGTGCTCCATTTCACTCTGTTTTCAGACGGGGCAAAACACCACTCCTTTCCTGTTAATTTTCCCAAGAGTTACTCACGCGCGAAATTGATTGACCGATAACGATCTTACTGACAGATGATCGGCAGGATAACTACAAGAGGGTGGAATACCGGCCTCAAATGTTTGTCTACGGGCTCTCTCCCCCCTCCCCTTTCCCTTCCCTTTCCTCGCTATTTTTACCCAAACAGAGAGCCTCTTCACAGGCTAGTCGAGCTCCGATATAAAACCACATGAACTAATTAGTACTCCATATGCATGGAACAGACCAGCTTCATAACCTTTAAATGTGAGACTCACAGCGGCAAAAATAAGATTTGCTCAGTTAAGAATACTCCATGCACTGCATAATCTACGCTAAAGAGACAGAAGAGAAAAGAAGAGAAGAGAGAAGGCCGCAAGAAAAATCTCTGTTGTTCAAGCTGACCCTAAGGTCACGTTTCACACTATCACAAGCTGATTCTCTCTTGTCATGTCACGAGCTATGAGTCGTGTTTGGCCTGTCAACACTTATTTGAAATCGGACTAATCACAAACTGCGTAAGAAACTAGCCAACCAAAAACGCCGACATTATGTCCTTCCGACTCTGCGGGATTCGAACACGATATTGTGCATAATATAACCACATCACAACATGACAAGAGTCATGGCTTTCCATACGCATGATTACGAGACAGAATGAGGAAGTATTACTAGCTAGTCAGCCATGAGGAAAAGTATCTGGCAGCTTTGTGCTGCTCATTGTTTTTGCTTGAAAACTGACTACGATCAGCAATCTTCAACCACCAACAGCGGGGAAATATGTCGTACAACAATATCGATGACACGCGCTCAGGGAAATGCTAACGACATACCGATGGATGATGAGAAAACTGAAACATCTAAGGCCAACGAAACTGTCGTCCAATACAGTACGACCGCCGATGGATTGAACATAAAGTTTGTCTCTCTTGCCAGCCACAAAATGGTTCCATCCAAGTTCAAAGATTGCTTTAAGAAAGGCCCAGAGCAGGCTAAACAGTTAGCCACAGAGTATGCAGCGAAAAAGGCTTTCTCCATCATCGCAGACGGCAGACATAAGCGCGACACAAGCGCTCCATCGCCCACAAATATTGTTTCTGCATTGGGTTCAGATGAGGGAGTTTATTCAGCCGGTGCTGACTGTGGTATGTTTGCGGCCGTTTTCACTGCCTATTCTCATCACTATAGGCTTAGGACATCGCCAGATGATTGGTGGTTCTGTGTTATCAAGAGGGTTGCTTGTGCAATCGATCAAAACTCTTCGGAAGCCTCCGTGCGCAACATGTTTGTCGATCATGAAGGAAAAAAAACAATCGAAGTACAGGTTAACGATCCCACTATCTACACCGTGGATTACAACTTCCTGTTCGATCAAATAACAAAGCAGTTAAAAGAAAACTTAAAAGTGCCCGAGTTTGTTGATGGAGTCACAGCAGATTTTGGAACCACCTCAGCTGTACAGAAGATCGTCTCGCAGATTACGCTGATGTATTCTGTTAATCAATATTTCGACTTTGCAATGATGTGCGGATGTGGAATACCAGCGGTGGAGATGCTTGGCAGTGAAGAAGACTGGATGAAATTGAGTTCAAAGCTGAAAGTTTTAAGAACACTCTTAGAACCCATAGAGAACGACCTTGGCCTTTCTTCGAAATGGTGGGATCTAGTTCAGAAAGTGTTCTGGAATCTGCAGGCCACTTATCGGGGAAACCCAGATGAAGAATGGTGGAGTCATATTATGAGCTATCAAGAGGAATATTCCTCAGGTATGTACGCTACTAGAAATACGTAAATCGCAGGACCTCGCGAAGGACTTCGAGGGAATTGACGGCAAGATAAGGCAAAAGAGAAGAAAATTTATAAATCTAAAAATTTTAAGCTATATAAAGAAACAAAACAAAGCTGTAATAACTAAAAAGAAAACTATACGAAAAGAAAAAGACCTTGGGACCTTGGGACCTTCGAGGCACCGGGCCATATCGTTACTAGACCACTTGAAATGACACAAAAATATTTTATTGAAACCCTTTCCCCTGGGGGCGTCGTTAAAACCCGGAACACGGAACATTCCGGAAAATCCTGGAACATCCCGGAACATGAAAAAATAAAAATAATTTTCATGAAAAAAAAAATAAATAAAAAATAAAAAATAATAATAATAAAATGATTTTTGTAAAAATTCATGATAACGTAAAATAATCACAAAAAAAATCGAAAAATAAAGAAATAAAGAAAAAGAAAAACAATATTTTGTCGCAAATAATTTGTTGGGCGAGTGAGGGCCCATGCAAATGACAGTAATTAGTGAAGGCTTGCTTCTAAATTCAAAATATATTAAAATGGGTCACGAGGAGGAGGGTTTTCAAGCCTTCCTCACACAGCCACCTCTTGTATTGTTTGCTATGTGGTTTAACGGTTATCCATTTAAGCTATTTGATAGTCTTAACTATTAAATTTATACGTCGCAGAAGGTCTTCAATAAAAGTTCATTATTACTTTGGAAACGAAAAATAGAGCAAGGAAACAACTTTTTTGCGAGAAACAACGTTTATTGTGAAGAGTTCGTATAATGTAATCAGCGCGAGTAGGCTACCTAAAGCTCTTCTATTTGAGATTGTAAGTCAGGTTTAATGAAGCCTTTCTTAATTTTTTACTTTATCTGATTTAGGGAGTGTATATTCTCCAAATTAAGCAAACGAAAATAATTTAACTTTGCTTTGTTTCTAAGGAATAATTCCCACTGGCAGAAGTTATATCAGAGGATGGATCACAGATTTCTTGGAGGGACCGCCAAATGTAAGGCAGGACCTGTGGGGCCCTGGTGACTTTACAAGTGGCTTAGTGGCCGTTCCTTTCACTATCAAAGATCCCTGTGGTGTCCAGGATACCGCAGCATTAGTGGCAGGAATGCTGGGTTTCACTGTTCACAGGATACCCAACTCTGATGAGGTGTCTGTACAACCATTCCAAGGATGGTCTCTTATGCTGTCTGACGACTCGCCTTTTTGCAAATTCTGAGCAAACCGCTGATATCGGCTTTATAAATTAGTTTAGTATTAAAACTTAAGTGCAAGGAAAGTAAATAAAATGTTTTAATACTGCAAACTTATTAAGATTTTTTTTCATGCAAATGTGGGCTGGGCAAAAAAACGTATTGGCAAAAATGTCAGCCATTTGACAGAAAGCCTATGTCAAAATGCAGGTTTCTTGAGTTCAAAAATCCCCAAAAACACACTGCAGAAGAAAAACGAAAAGAAAGAGAAAAAGTGAAGAAGAAGAAAACATAGTTCCTGTCAGTCTACGTTTTTTTATATTGCCTACAATTGAGCCAAAAATGATTCGCACATGTTTTTTTTTTGGCGGAAATGTGTGACTGGAATTGCTAAAACCCGGCTAGTGAAAATCAATAGCCATTTGACCAAACTGAGATCAAATCACAAGGTTTATGGCTGAAAAGCCCGACATCTGCGAATGAAAAGGAGAGAAAAAATAGAGAGATGGGAAGAGAAGGAGAAGAAATAGGAGAAAAACAATCAGTCTTTGCACTCTAAGGTTTTACATTGTCTCCTTTGGAGATGGTATGAACGTTTGAACGAAAAAATCTGTTTGAGCTAGGAAGACTCTAGATCTTGAGCAGTAACGTTTTCAAAAGTTCAGCTGGAAATGCATGAATAATTTAGCCTACATGCAGGCATCTCTTGTTTTGTTTTGTTTTGTTTTATTATCATTTTGCCGTACACACAAAAGATACATATAAAATTTCTAAAAAAGATGAGGCAAGGGAGCCCAAGGAAGCTTATGTTATCTAATTATTAATTACAATACTGCTCGAATCGTACGCACAATTTATTTGGAACATAGAAAATAATCTTTAAATAGGATAAACTAGAAAAGGCTGAACGTGTAAGTGCAAAAACGAGAAAGAAAAGGTGAGAAAAATAATGGACGAATAAACGAGAAAAAAGCGAAAGAAGTGAAAAACTATATACAGGCATTAGGAGAACTTAAGTGTGCTTTCCTCCTTCCTTTGGAAACTTTTGAAAGTTTTTAGCAAAAACGTGGCACATGTTGTTTATGACTAAAACACATTCAGCTAAAATAATAATGATGTTTATAATAATCACTTCATAATTGCTTAGGTAGCCGCTAGCGCACTGTACAGTACCGCAGATGATGGGCATCATTTGCGGTCTGGGGATCATAACTGTACAGCACTCAAGAAGTAGGATTAAACACTCGACTACGTCTCGTGTTTTTTCCTCTGCACTTTACCTGTGCTCTAGATCAGCGGCTTCTTGCGTGTATTACAACAGAACAGAGCACAGACAAGACTTTTTTATTGGTTAATCTTCTCTCATTACTCACAACATTCGGAATAAACGAGCCATTAGTGCTTATGTCAACGTTAGTAGCTTTTCACTACAGTTCAACTGGGGTATTACAATGCTGGTCGTAAATACAGCTGGTAGCTTACGACAGCCAGGGTCTGTATATCATTGTTTTAATAACTAGAATAAAGCTTCTTAGATGCTTGTCTGGTATCCTTGATACAGGGTCACTATAGGGCACTCGGAGGGCACAGTTCTGGGTTTGCTATACTGAAAGGAATAGTCCACGCAAACTAGTTTAAGCCTTAAATCCCTAAGACTGACCAGGATCTAATCTCAGGAAATAATAGAAGTAATCGTGAAAACTGGCTTGACTCTTGAACAAACTCTTCCCCATAAAGTCATAGTATTAATTTGACTCAGTCTATTAGGGTAAAAGTTTGAGAGAGGGGATTCTTACTAATGGAGATAACCATTATCTGACAATCGTGACAGGAATGTAGAATGCAATAGCTTTCCCTCCACCTTGCCCAGTTACTAGGCCTCATTATTCCGTGCGGCCAAAGCGTTTCGGGTCACCTGGTCCAAACGTTCCCGCCCGTTCACCTCGGATATGTCACCGAACTGAATTGACCGAGAGGGACTGGGAAAACGCCGTACGGGGACTTCACCCTTGATTTCAACCTTGCCCCGGCCTGCCTCGAACTCATGCACGCACATGCAGCTCCAGCTAAAAAAACAAAACACGCTGAGCATGTGGTTTAAGGTCGGAACGCAAGGCAATAAGTCGCAGCAATACGTCATGGTGACAGCTAGCTCACTCCTTGTCTACAAGTTTGGTGACTAGTTGCCGTAACATGTTGTCAAATCGCTTCATGTGTACTGGAGAATTTTTGTGGAAATCTTTGTCTCTGCAGCAGAATTTTGTCGCTGCAACAAGTTTCAAAAAATCAAATCAAACCGAATTTGTGTGACTTGTTGCAGTGACAAAATTATGTTTCAGAGATAAAGATTTTCACAAAAATTCTCCATTACACACGAGGAAATATGTCACGTGTACCGACCTTTCAGGTCAGTACATTCTGTGCAAAAGGCCGTAGCAGGCCTTTAGAAACTAGGGGGCACAAATATTTAAGGTAGCTCATTGCACTTGAAAAGCAGGAGGGTCTTGGGTCCGGTAGCCTCCCACGCAGACGTTCGTCGGGGTTCGATCGTCACCCCTTTCTGCCCCACAAACGTCTGCTGAATCGAGTAGTAGAAAACTCAGACCAATCACAGCACGCTTCCAGATCTGGGAAGTGCACTTTGGACCTTGACAAATTAATTTCGTGTGAGACTCGGCTCTAGAAAAGATCAGAAAGGTGAAGACCCTGATTAGAATAAACTAATCATTTAATTGACACCCCTCCGTACCAGAGACTACCCGCACGATCTTAGTGAAAAATTTACGTCGGAGGTTTAATTTGCTAAGCAGATCTGAAGTCGACTTCTCCACAAAACAGTAAAGTGCAAAAAAAAAATTCTGCCTTTCGTTCTAGCTGTTGCAACGTACAACCCTTCCATTGCCTCAACTACGGAACAACTTTATGAGAAAATGACATCTAATCCAGCCTTTACAAAGCTAGAGAGATATACCAAACGCCAACTTTTATCGTCTTGTCCGAAGCTAAACTCTTTGGTCAAGTATCATGCTCTACCGAGCTTGTAGGTATTATGTGTTTGGTTTGTCAGTACCTTGACTTCAACAGCGCCGATTGTTTCTCCGACAATCTGCACGCGAGTTCCTGCTGATTTTGCAAACAATGGGAAAGGAATTTAGCCACTCAAATCAGCAGATGTTTATGGGGCCGGATAGTCTGCCACACAGCCGTTTTTAGTGTCGTCACGCTACGCTCCTTCTCCTTTGTGGGGAGAAGCGTTGCGTAGGGTCAGGAACGCCTGACGAACCCCTGAGAACGTCTGCATGGGAGGCTATGGGTCCCGAAGGACCCATTGGAGTGGTCTCTGTATCTTAAAACCAGAAAATGTTTCACCTAGCTGCAAAGACACCATCGTTTCAATTCTCTGGGAGATGAATTGTTATTTTTAACTTTTATGCGTGCATGTTTTGACGTTCTGGGGCAAAAAACTGGGGGGGGGGGAAGGGGCACAGGAAATCAATGTAGTGTATTCAGTGATTCTTGGCTTTTTAACAACGTAAACAGAATGCACTTGGAATGTGTTGCCGAACTGTTTGAAAGTATTTTATTGTTGGATGTTATGAGTTTTAATTGTTATGATGAATCACATTTTCCTTGTGTAATTTGTTTTTATAAGAAAAACAGATACTTGATAGTGACAGGAAAGACAACTCCATTTGAGAAGTTACTAGTGTACATTATCCGACTTAAAAATGACCTCGGTAAGCGCAAAATGTATTTTGTGAACTAATGTCTTCCAAACAGACTTGCAAAGAAAACACCATTTTTGCATGGAGTTAATATTTTTAGTTACCACTTATGATAATTCAGGACTTATGATAATTCAGTACCAGAGATCAGCTACAATCGATTCAACTGTTTATACACTAGTGTTACTTACTAGTTAATTTTTCGGACTATGGCCATTAATATGCTTACATAATACTAAATAAAGCTTCCACATTGCCTTATTTTACCTACCACAGCTCTCTTTGACACTTCTGCAGAGCTTCAGATACATGTGAACTGGAGAGAGCCTGTAGGATAGTTTTTACCAATAATTCAGTCTCCACACTGATAAAGGTGGCTGAGTTCCCTTTTTTTGCCAACAGAGAACGTCGACTCGTTGTCACCACTTTGCTCCTTTCGCGAAGAAAAATTTCAAGAAAAACCTCTGGCCGTTCTGTCACCAAGACTTTCACCGATGAGCGTCTATTGGCTAGCAACTTCGGTATTTCATTTTCCCCTAGCTATCTCAGGCTTTGGGGTAGCTGTCAAGGAAAACTCTATTGTTATCACGACATATCCAAGCTCCAGACGATAAAATTTCCCCGAGGTAAGTTAGCAATGGAAAAATCGGTCACATTAAAAAAATCAAGTTTCCCTAGTAGGTAAAGTGTCAACAAGTCGAGTTTTCCCGAGTAGGTAAAAAAAACTCGGCTGTAGTGTGACCACGGTGTCTGAACCTCGTCTGAAACAAGGCTCTGGGGATGAGAATAAACCAATCAGAAATACTACCAGATTCCGGCTTTCTTACATGTGCCAGTGGTCTGGAAAATAAACGTTTTATGCCCTCGTTCCCTAGACCGCAAAACAGTCGGGGTTTTTTTCTCAAAATCAGTAAAGAAATCGGTAAAGCGTGGCGTAAGAGTCTATTTCAGCCTCGTTCCAGACTTTTTGTTTGACAGCTCTCGCGTACTTGAAAACGCAAAAATAGTCGGACTGTTTTGCAGTCTACTCCTTCCCACGAAAGACATAATGTGTAGTTCTATTTGGACGAGCGAAGCGAGAACTCGAGAGAGGCAGGCGTCTACTTTTCACGATATACCCCAAATGGAGAGCTTGCTCGCAGGCTACACCTGGAAAAGATACTTATGTCAGAAATTATGTTGCACTATACCATTTATTTGCGAAAGTTAATTATTAATTGTTTCTGTAATACTAAAAAAGAGGAAAAATCCTTTTATTCTCGCAAATACAGTTTCTAATTATCGCAATTTTACCTTGTTGA